ATCATTTTCTTCAAACTCAACATTATAATCATCATACATTTCCTCGGCCACCATCAACGCCAGCTCATTGCTAGTTCTGGCCTCACAAACCTTGCCTCGGCCTTCAATGGTTGCCAGACAGCTCGATTCGCCTTCTAGCATTGGCTCGACTCCATTTTTGCACTCCTCTCTTTCCATTTCAACTTACATTTCACATACCCGATCCATCAAACACGATTCCTACTCTTCCTCGCTATTTTTCTGCCTCAGATCACCAACTCCCTCCTCATCCGCCAACAGAGACTCTGTCTGATTCTCCGCTTCTCATTCCTCTCTGTCTTATTTTTCTTTCCTTCTCCTCTTTCATCAACCCATTTTTTATTTTGGATCAGGTCAGATTCAAAATTTGGGTTTTAGATAACCGGCCTCCACTTTAATCCAACTTTCGGATCGGTTTGCTTGGGCTTGGAACATCGATCCATTTTCCTTTCTCAAACTAGGAGAAACGACGGCCCACCCTCACACCCTTTCTAAAATTCGGAAGCCTAGCTTTGCCTCTTCTTAAATCCATACTCCCAAAATGGCTCCCGTTTTTTGCATGTTGGGTAAGTCGAGCACCGGCCTGTGTTTGACCCATTGATCCAAAACGACAACCCTCCACTCCGTTTTGGCTTGAAACAGGTTCAACTTTAGGTACGGGTACTGTCTGCCCTACCCGACCAACCTTTGTCGCAGGCATCTTGAGTAGCGACACGCCTTCACCTTCTCCTTTCTGCTCACCCTAACCTCCATCTCTTCACCACAACACTGACAAGTAATGGATATTATCCCCTGGCAAAGCACATGTACTGGTGCCTCCCCATTACCTTGCTCTGCTTCCGCCCTTGTTTTCCCCTTCAACCATTCCAGTTCTACTAATTCTACCCTTTGAACATCATAAATCGCCTCCATGAATTCCCACCATCCTTCTGCCTTCTCTTCCTCTAGGATAAAGATACGCTTGACTCCTCTTTCGCCTCCAGTGATACTCTCAGAGAGGACTAAGAAATTTTCTCCTCGAACCGAGCTTAAAGCCATCTAGACAGAGCAATTCCTTTCCGCAAGCATCTTTCCCCATCCGTTCTCTCCTTTCTCCCACCTAAACTCCCTAAAACTTCCCCTCAGCCACTCTGCCTCCCCCTCATGATATAGAATTGACTTATTGATTCCTTTCCCATTTTCGAAAATGCAAACTCCATCACCTTCTCCCACAATGTTGAATGATTATTGTCTGGTTGGCAAAAACTTTTGGGGCCCTTGAAACATGGCCCCAGATTGAACCGGCGTCATCGTTTCCGCGTTAACAGAGTTGGCAATGCTCATATAGCTCGCTCAGTTTGTTAATTTCTCAGTTTCCCAGTTGGGTGGGATCCCTGCCAAGGAACGATTGATTAGAATACAATTTATAATTACATTTTGCTCCATCTCACCTTCTTTGGCGGTTAAAATACGTTTCTTATGAATGAAAGTAGGAATTGAAATCTCACTTTTAGGATATTCAAGGTGGGGATGAGAGGTTAGGCCCTTGACCGCTTTCAACTGGGTGCTTCTTGGGTTAGTGGTTGTGGAGATTCATGGAGGAGGGTAGCTTTTGGTGGGGAGTGATTACACAGGGATTTGATGACTAAATCTTCTATAAATCCGTATAGAGTGGGACTTTGGAAGAGTGTTGGTATTTGCCGAGTTGAGTTCTTAAGCTACATCAGATGATGGTTATGTTTGGGTCAGGGGGTAGGCCATCATTCTTTTGTTATGTTCTCTTTGTGCAAGAATAAGGAGGTGTTGCTTCGGAGCCTACGCAAGAGAATCTTTTCAAATGATAATTTGAGGAAGAGGATAAAATTGTTAAGAAGTGTTATCTTTGCAATAGAGTACCTAAGGCTCAAATATTTAGTGGTGCTTTTTGCTTTTTGTCTTTGTATACGACCTTGGAGTTCTTTGGATTGAACAGGTTGGTTGTTGCATCAGTTGTTGTGGGGAATAGTGCTTGGCTGGGTATATGGGATGATAAGAAAAGTAAAAACTTTTCTCTCTTTCCCTGTGACTTTGTAGGTTATGTCTTGAGGATAAGGAAGGCTGCCAAACCTCTATGCATGGGATCATCTTTGCAGGCCTTTGGAGTATTTGGCTGGTGTACAATTCAATAACTTTTAACAAAAAAAGTCTTTCATATTATGAGTTGCGGGAGAGGGCAACTTTCTTGGCCACCTTATGGGCTAAAGGGCACGGGTTTTACAGATATTTCTATTACCAACCTCCAACGGCAATGGAATATTTTCATATGTAGCTTCTGCTGATTTTTTTTCTCTTTCCTTCTGCTCTTTTTCCTGTTTGTTGGGTTTTGGTTTTCTTTACTTCCCTAGCTGACATGAGGTTTTTATTCTCTTTGACAGGAGGATCTCTCTTCCTCCTTCTATGTACTTCTTCTTTCTTATCTCGATAATATCTTCTTCTTTTATTGAAAAAATTATTATTTGCATGTGAGTCCTGACTTTTATGTTCTTCATTCATTTTTTCATATCTCTACAAATCCTTGTGATGAAATATTTATCTGGTATGATAGGTGAAATCAATAAAACTTGGAATGTGGGACAGCATCTATGACAGTTTTCAAGAAATTGGTCAAGATAAATTAGCTAATGCAAATTCCAAGTACGAAATCATAGATGTTGAGCCAAGTGAACGTGCCCCACGTTGTGAGTATTGTTTTCCTGATGAAGCTTTAATTAATAACTGTCAATATTTTCTTTCCCGCTTTTGCCTTTTTCCATTCTTTTCTGTTGTTTGGTGCGTTTATTACTATTAGTCCTCTGATTTCCTGGAAAAACACCTAGTGCTAATCTTTCATGCATTCTTCTTTTCTTTTGCTTTTTGTTATTGAAATTTGTATTCACATTTATACAACATATTGAAGATCTTCTAAGAGGTTCAAATTAACTAAGTGGATCTATGTGGGTATATTGTAACTTGACATATATGGTGAGTAAATCATTTTCAGTTATACAACGTGGTTATTTCTTGTCATAAAAGTGTTAATCAAAATTTGATATGAGTACAAATAACTTAAACCCAAACTCATTTCTTTTCTACTTCCATGTTTGCTTGTGTACAATATCATGGTATCATTGCAATATTGCCACCTGTAGCTTTAAGGTAGCATTTTTGTGAACATATTTATGGTAGGGAACAACTTTTGTTTAAAAGCCTCTTTCTAGGAAGTAAAACATAAAAATAGTCCTAATGTTCGAAAAGGATGGAAAGGATTTGACAATACACTTCACTGTGTTTTCTTTCTCTAAATATTTGCCTATCTTTTCTTCTCTTTGTTTGCTTGTTCCGCAGGTGTCAGAGTTGAAGAAATTATAGATAGAATTGCTACTTATTTTGAGCGTGACCATGATATTTGGAATGGTAAAACATTTAACCAACTAACTTTTAGGCTCTTGAGGAAGCTTTCCTATTGTGGGTTCTGGTTGGCTGAGCAGTTTTGTGTTAAGGATTTCAAGTCCCTTGGTCATGGGGATTTTTTCAATTTCCTTGAGAAACATGTTTTATTGTTGCCTAGCAATCTGCATAAATTGTTGGCTGGTGAAGCAAGTGAAAAATTTCCGTTGGAGGTATGCATGCTTGAGCAAATGCTGATAGTCTTAGTATCACAAGCTTCAGATAATTTATTGGACAATGAAGTTGTCACTGAGCAGATTCTTTCTGCATTGCTTATGAGGCAATTCCCATCAGTTAACTTTAAAATTGTTGAAAATGATTCTTTGGAGAACTTTTTGGAAATTGTTAAGAAGTCTAAGAATAATGTATTTTCGAATAGCATACTCTTTTCAATACCATTGTTGGGAAGTCAGGACTTGTTAGACTGTGATGATTCATTGGCATTCTCTGCAACGAAACTGGAGAATGGAGAGGGGACAAGGACCTCTAAATCTATTTCATCCAAGGATGCAGTTGAAGTTTTACTTAGAGCACCACTGCTGTCAGATTTAAACGTGTGGTCTCATTGGGACAGTGTATTTGCCCCTTCACTTGGCCCTCTTGTGGGATGGTTGTTGAATGAAGTCAATATAAAACAGTTATTATGTCTCGTGACAAAAGATGGAAAAGTGATTCGGATTGATCCATCAGCAACTATTGATTCATTCTTGACAGCTGTGCTTCAGGGTTCTGCGTACCAGACAGCAGTGCAGCTGTTGTCTTTGTATGCTTTAAGTGGAGGAAAAAAATATGTTCCTTTGGCCCTTCTAAAATGCCAAGCACGCCAAGCATTTGAAGTCACTTTGAATAACTGTAAGGAAAAAATTGAAGTTTTGTGATGGTCAGAATTCTTTTATGCATAAAAGACCATTGTGTAGACAAAACGTGGTTAATGAAGTTTCTACTGATAATGTAATCAGTGGGGAGAGGCATTCGATAAAAAGGAATGAAGCTGTGTCCATCACTTCTAGATTTGTTCTTGATTGTCTTGTCCATATACCACTAGAATTTTGTAGTTTTGCTGCTGATGTCCTGCTCTCTGGGCTGCGGTCTGTAGTTAAAGATGCTCCTCTGGTGATTTTGTCTGAGTGCAACCTACTGGAGCAACGTGTCATGCTACACGAAGTAGGACTAACCCTTGGCATAGGAGAGTGGATTGATGATTATGTTGCCTTCCGTTCTGCCGTTAATGCTAATATGCTCCTGTATTCAGGCAGTCCAAGCTTCAAAGATGGTTGGTCTCATTTAAGCTCTTGCTCAAATCATGACAAAAAGGAAGTGGATACTGTTTCTAATTCTGAAGGAAAATTAATTGCTTCTGAAGACACACATGAATGTACTGAAGTTTCTCACATGATTGACCGAGCAAAAGCTGTTGATGATTGTATTCACAGTCCTGGCATGCTGATGATATCAGAAACTCATGCGCATAGGGACGCAGACTTGATTATTGAATCAATTAGGCGGGATGAGTTTGGTCTAGATTCAAATCTTTCAGAAAGCAGAGAGTAGCATGTTGAAGAAGCAGCATGCTCGCTTGGGCAGAGCACTTCATTGCCTTTCACATGAACTCTATTCTCAGGATTCACATTTTCTTCTTGAGCTTGTAAGTGTACTATCCTTTCTTTCTTTTATTGCTTGTGGAGAAATATTATGGAAAAGGTCAGTGAAGCTGCTAAGTATGCTTTATGTTCATTAGTTGTTTCCCTTCTCCATGATATCTGAGAATAAACTACCATGTTGTGTTGTGATTGTTTTGATATACTAAATATGCTTTATGTTCATTAGTTGTTTCCTTTCTCCATGACAGCTGAGAATAAACTACCATGTTGTATTGTGAACGTTTTGTATTAATCATCTTGTTTCCATGTTGATGTTATACATCCATGTATTTTGTAGAGGGTTGCTTTCTTTTCTTTTTTCCTTTCTAAGAGAGGAAGTTTGCAACCCAAGTACAAGAAAGAAAATACACAGTTTACATTCTCCTAAGGAGAGAAGACCAAAATGTCCAAAATAACAACGAAATCAAATATTGGGTGCTCTTTAAGCAAAATACAAAGAATTCTAACTAGTGACCTCTAATCTCATGAAAAGGGGAGGATGAATTGTCAAAAGCTTTGTTGTTTAATTCTTTCCAAGTGACATGAAAGATAGAAAGATGAATAATGGAGATAAACTTCTTCTTAGGCTTTGGAGTAGCGGTATAGCTCCATGCCGACAAGGCATCCTTAGTAGAGGCATTTGCAACCAGTTTCAGTTGAGAAAAGACAACACTGAATCCCATAATCTTCTAGTCTCAGATTATTTTTTTTTAAAAAGAAAGAAATCTTCTAGTCTCAGAACACTAAAGAAGGGAGATGACTGGGGGATTTCATCTCCTTCACACATAGGAAACATCTGTTAGCCAAAGACCTGCTCTTTTCATCAAATTATCCAAAGTTAGAGTTCTACCACATGCTGCCTTCGAAGCAAAGAAGATAGGATAAGGCGAGGCTTTGGTTTTCCATGCTTATTTCTATGGAAACCTGTCCACCATTTGGTCCTCATTTAGATGACTATAGATAAATTTGACTCGAAAGCTTCCTCAATTGGGAGAATAATCTTAAATGAATCTGTCATTAAGGTTCCGGAGGAGAGGGATATTCTTCCAAATTCTACCATTATCCACATCAAAACAATTCATAACCTACATCCCCTTAAAACTAATGACATTGAAGATATTTGGGAAGATGTCCTTTGGGGGGCTTTCATCTATTCAATGGTCATTTCAAAACTGAGTTTCCTGTAATTATCAACATATAATGTTGGTGAAAAACAACTGTCCACTTTTATTAATCCATCTCCATGGGCTCCATTGGCACTCGCCTTTGTGCTTCTTGGTCTTCCATTCTTTAACATTCAAACTATGTTTCACTAGAATAACCCAGAATAAAAACACTGTCCTCCGTGATGGATCTCCTTTTCCATTAGCAAGCAACACCTTATTAAATTCTCCAATGGTTTAATTCTCAAACTACCCTTCCCTAACAGCCTCCTAATCTTACGAAAGGGTTCCCTTATAGAGGGAATAGACCAACTTGAGAATAACAAGTGTCCTCTGTTTCTCATTGTTATTAGGATATACTGCCTCTACCAAGGATCATTTACGTATAACCCGTAGTATGTATGGCCTTATGCTGTGGTGGAATTGTGCTGGTACTTTGATCTTTTGGTCTTTACCTCTGTGTAAACTTCTGTTTTTGTACACGGGTTACTCCCAATTGATGCCCTTTCAGTATTGTGTCCGTTTTATTATAAATAAATGATATACTTCTATGTCTTTTGAAAAAAGGATATACTGCCATCATAATGCTCTTCAGAATTTATCTGAATGTTTTATAATTGAACTGTTCTCTTTGGAAGTTTTGGAGGAACAACTGGTGAAATTTGTTTTTGAGGGAACTGCTGGCGAATTTAATGTGTCAAATGCATCTAATCATGCTTTGCGTTGCTTCAGGTTCAAAATGCTGACGATAATGTCTACAAAAAAAGTGTGGAGCCAACACTAGTATTCATTCTTCAAGAGTCGGGTATTGTAATTTTGAATAACGAGGAAGGCTTTTCTGCTGAGAACATCAGAGCACTTTGTGATGTTGGGAAATCAACGAAAAAGGGGTCTGGTGGATACATAGGACAGAAAGGCATTGGATTTAAGTCTGTATTTCGGGTATGTTGAAAGGCAGGATTATTTTCATGATCCTGGTGTCTGGTAGATTAAATGTGTTTTGGTCCTCTTAGTTTCTCCAGATTTCTCAGCATAGAGCTTCATATGACTTAATAATGTTGCCTTCTTTAGTTGGACAATGATATGAGATTCATGGTAGTCAACTTACATTCTAGCATGGACTTCTCACCTTTCTCAACATTTTGAGGTCTTTACTTGGTCAAAAATGTTTCATTTGGTGTTTGATGAATTTTGCATAAGTTTCTTGCAAGTCTTGAAATGGGCATCCATATTGACATTGCTGATGAATTGATAGTGGAAATATAATGGGTAAGATAGGTGGAATGGGGTTCACTTATTGAATCTACCTATTATTTTTATGCTAAATTTTTGAACTATTCTTATCTTCGAAAAATTACTTCACCTTTTTGTCCTATTGTATGTCCTTTCAAAAGCTCATTTTCAAGGATTTTGTTATGTAATTGATGTCTTCACTGTAAATTATGTCCTTGTAGTGTTAATAAGTATTATTTTAGTCCAATAGGTCTAATATAATTCCATTTCTTTCAATTTTTGGTGCCCATGGTGATACATATTATACTTTTATTTTTCAATAAATTTTTTTTTCCCTCATCTTTCTGCAGGTTTCAGATGCTCCAGAGATACATTCTAATGGTTTTCATGTCAAGTTCGATATAAGTGAGGGTCAGATAGGTTTTGTTTTGCCAACTGTGGTGCCTTCTTGTAACATCGACATATATAGTAAAATATTATCTCAACATGCTAGCCAATTGGGACAGCAGGGCTGGAACACTTGCATTATACTTCCTTTTAAATCTAAATTCTCAGGAGGAGTTTCAATGAACAATATCAATGCCATGTTTTCAGATCTTCATCCTTCTTTGTTGCTCTTCCTTCACCGGCTTCAATGTATTGTGTTTCAGAATTTGATTGAAGATTCACTCATTATCATGAAAAAAGAAGTTTTAGAGAATGGTATCATAAAGGTTTCAAGTGGGAAAGATAGAATGACCTGGCTTGTAGAATCTCAAAAGTTGCATGTAGAAAAAAATCGTCCTGATGTGCAAACCACTGAAATTGCTATAGCCTTTACGCTACAGGAATCAGACAATGGGAAATACAAACCATATCTTAGCCAACAACCAGTGTTTTCCTATCTCCCTTTACGAACTTACGGCCTTAAATTTATTCTCCAAGGTGATTTTGTTCTCCCTTCATCTAGAGAGGAAGTCGATGGAGATAGTCCTTGGAATCAGTGGTTATTATTGAAATTTCCTGATTTATTCATCAGGGCGGAGAAATCTTTTTGCGCGCTTCCTTGTTTCATGGAGAACCCAGGAAAAGGTGTGGGAGCTTACATGAGTTTTGTTCCACTTGTAGGAGAAGTTCACGGTTTCTTTTCCAGTCTCCCTCGAATTATTATCTCTAAATTGCGAGTTTCAAACTGCTTGCTTATGGAAGGAGACAAGAAGCAATGGGTTCCTCCATGCAAGGTTTTGAGAGGTTGGAATGAACAGGCACGTGCACTTCTTACTGATAGTTTACTTCATGAACACCTTGGCCTGGGATTATTGAACAAGGATATAGTTCTGACAGATTACCTATCGAGGGCACTGGGAATTGAAGATTATGGACCTAAAATCCTGGTTGAAATCATAGCCTCTCTAAGTCGCACAAAGAACGACCTCAAATCAATAGGTCTAGGTTGGTTAGCCTCTTGCCTGAATGAGCTGTACACCTTGTCATTTCATTCTACTAGGCAGGCTTCACTGAACCTCGGAAAAGAAGAGGATCTCATAGATCGTCTACGCAATATTCCTTTTATTCCTCTTTCAGATGGTGCATACGGCTCATTGATTGAAGATACAATTTGGTTACATTCTGATGGTAGTGAATTTGATGGCGGGCATGGACTTGAGGCATTTCCCAAGTTGTATGCTAAACTTCGAATTGTGAATCCTGTCTTCCTTTTTGCATCAGATGTTGACATTACTTGTAGGGATGTGAATTTAGCGGGAAATCTTATCAGAATGCTTTGCAGAATTGGTGTACAGAATCTGTCCGCACATGAAATCATGAAAGTGCACATTTTGCCAGCAGTTTCGGATGAGGGAAACAGAAATATTGACAAGAGTTTGATGATAGAGTACCTGTGCTTTGTAATGATGCACCTAGATTCTGGCTGCCCTGATTGTCGCTCTCAAAAGGAGCACATTTTCCGAGAGCTGAAAGATAAAACTTTTATATTAACTAATTATGGTTTTAAGAAAACAACTGAAACACCAATTCATTTTGGAGAGGAATTTGGAAATTGTATTAATGTGTATAAGCTAATTGATGAAGCTGATATGAAATGGCATGAGGTTTCCATGGACTACCTGAAGCATCCAGCATCCAAAGCACATGCATATGGAGTTAAGAAATGGAGGGAGTTTTTCCAGGAAATTGGAGTAACTGATTTTGTGCAAGTGGTTCAAGTTGACAAGAGTGTTGTGAATCTGTCTTCTACTGATTTAAAGATTATTAAGGGGGACATGAACCTGATTTCACCAGGATTAGTTGTTAAAGACTGGGAATCTCTTGAACTAGTTCAGTTATTATCCTCATTGTCGCAAAGGGGCAATAAGGAAGGTTGCAAGTATCTACTGGAGGTTCTTGATATGTTATGGCATGATTGTTTTAGTGACAAAACTACTATCGACTGCAATTCCCTTTCCGTTTGTGGTGATAGACTCATCAACTCCTCATTTGTATGCAACATCCGTGATATTTGTTGGGTAGTATCAAGCATGGATGATAAGCTTCACTGTGCCAAGGATCTATTTTACGACTGTGATGAAGTACGCTCGATTCTGGGGACAGCTGCTCCTTATGCTGTTCCAAAGGTTGGTTTCACATTTTATATCATGCTATTATAGAGAGGTCTTTAAATGTTTTTCCAAGTTCTGCTTTTACCTCACTTGCACATACAGTTTAAGACCACTGGTCATGGTTTATCTTGAGAACTGAAATTGTGCACATCAACCATCTTTTTTGTGCTTGAACTGTAGGAATGTCAAAATATTAGCTAAAAATTTAATGGAATATTTGATCTCTGTTTAATGATATGCTTACAGGAGCTAAACTTGATTAGTGATCAGCTGCAACCAAAACTTTTTGCTAGATGGATCTCTTACATCTCTTTTCAAATTTAGTTTCTCTATTAACTTGAGTTTTTAAAATTATTTTGTCCTTAATTTTTGAGTAGGTAAGAAATGAGAAGTTAATTAATGCTGCTGGCTTCAAAACTAAAGTTACAATTGATGACATCCTGGAAATTCAAGACATATGGAGAATGTCTCCAACTCCTTTCAGAGCCAGGTATGGCTGCATTTTTCATTTTGGTTTTTGTTGCTATGGATTTCATGTTTCATTACAAATATTATCTTTTTTAGGAAGAAAATAAAATGCACATTTTTATTTTAGTACCCCTAATGTTTACCTTGCCATCACCATTTGATGCTATTTCATGGGCTTTCTTTTTCCCCTTAAAACAATTTCAGTATTGTTAGTCTCCATATTTTTGTAATACTAACTTTTAGTATTTTAGCCTTTAGGTAAGATGGAAACTGTTTACTTAATGATCAATCTATTTCGAACCATGGCGACTAGGTATACGTCTCTTAAATGATTGGAGCTGTGTGGTATTTGCTACTCTATCAAATTAATACAATTGAACGGATTAGCTAATAAGAAGGAAAAAGAAAAGTCCAGTGAACGACATGATTCTCTAATAATAAGATTATGTAGAAGGCCTTCCTGTTTCTTCATTCTCAGATCTTTTTAGCACGTCTTGACCCAGCTTATGCCATCTTTTAACATTTTCTGAAAGCAGTATAGAATTGCAGGTGTTTTAAGTTTTAAATTTGCTTTTGAAGGTTGAGGATATTTAGTTTGCATCTTGTTCTATGCTTGTGTCCGAGTTGTTCGCTTTAGGGATTAGTTATTATTTGTTAAGGTTTGCATTGAGGACTAGGGTTGAGATTTTTAGGCTCCATTTTGTATATAATTGTATATAAGAGTATATTCTATCTTTATTTCACAGTCATGTAGAAAGAACATGTGCAATGTAAATGTATATTTCATGATAAAAGGAGAAGATATATCTAAAAAGGAAATAGATATAAAGAACAAGGATAGGGGGTCCTCTCTCAAAAAGAAGCCAAAACAAGAAAGAACTAAAAGAGGTAGCTGATACATGCCAGACCCCTGGATATAGTATAGGCTCTTTCAGAGTGAAATCAGACAAAGAGGAACCAGGTTGCCTCTGTTTTTCTTCTTCTTTCCTGATCTATGGTGATAAAAAGCTAAGGCTGATTAAGAGGGAAAAACCAAAAGATATATCCTCAAGTTAGAGTACAAAAGCAACTTAGTGACTAATTTTCTGGATAACCTTTATTTCCATCAGAAGAGCATTTTTAAGGGATTATTTTTAGATATTGCTTCCATAAGGATAGTTCTTTGAGAATTGCATAACTCATCACATAATATTCAAACATAAAACTGAATGTAAATTGACAGATTTATTAACTGCTAACATGAAGACATTAGTAATAAAACGTAAAGAATCAGAAGAAAAACACTTAGCATTTGGACTAAAGCCTTTCTATTCTTACCATTTAAAGCTCTTTTTTCCTTTTTGAGAGGAAAAAGAGATTAGTAGTATTAACAAGGCAACAAAGGGAGTGCAACTCATGTGCAGAAGAAGCTTTACAGATCGTGACAAGAAGCCCGATACCTATAGGAGAAAATCCTCTTTAAAGATAAGAGGTTGATCACCAAACAGAAACACACCTTAATACCATCCTAAGCTCACAATTCATTCTCAATTGAGCCACTGGCCACCCAAGAGAGATTAAGAAAGGACAAAGATGAATACCATAGCCTTCTAGCCTCGGCTACAATGAAGAACGAGATGTTTGGGGGATTCACTTTCTTGCAAACAAATTGACCACCCATTGATAGATCTTTTTTCTTGCTTCCTCAGATTGTCTATTATAAGATTTTTACCTCAAATGGGTCTGAAACCAGTAATCTCTAACGCTAACAAAAGAAAGCACAGTGCCCCAGAAAACCCTCTTGTTCCTTTTTATCTTTTATAAATAATCCAAATAATAGCCAACAAAATAAGAGAATTAAGTTTTGCTCCAAGTCCTACAGACCCTAATACCTTCCTAAGCCTATAATTCATCCGCAAGTGAGCCATTGGTTGCCCAAGAGAGATTTAGGAAGAACAAAGATGATTCCATGGCCTTCTAGTCTTTGCACATCGAAGGAGATGTTAGGGGATTCACTTTCTTGCAGACGCATTGGCCACTCATTGACAATGCTCTTTCCTCGCTTCCTTGAATTATCCATCATAAGACTTTTACCTCAAACGAAAGGAAAGCTACACAAGAGGGGTTCTTTTTTTTTTCTCTCCCTCTCAAATCTACTTCCAAGGAAACCTTGAGACAACATCAGGTTGAGACATAATGTTAAGATAAAAGGATCTTACAGAGAACAAACCATTCTTTGCTTGGTGCCATATAGGACGATCATGAGCAGTAGGGTCAAAATGGAAAGAATTGAGAAGAGTAAAGAGAGAGACCATATAAACAATTTCTCAGTTGTTGAGGTTCCGCGATAAAATGAGATATTACATGAAGGTGGAGAGATGCCGTTAATGAACACAATAACCTTAGTTAAAGCCTCCTTGTCCTTGCAACAATGAAAATGGTACAAAATCTGAAGGTGGAGAGATGCCATTAATGAACGCAATAACCTTAGTTAAAGCCTCCTTATCCTAGCAACAATGAAAATGGTACGGAATCTGAAGGTGGAGAGATGCCATTAATGAACACAATAACCTTAGTTAAAGCCTCCTTATCCTAGCAACAATGAAACTTGTACGAAAATCCTTGTGTGGATAATCTTCACATTGCATGTCTGCCAAAAAGCTCAAAGATTGATCATTCCATAGCCTAAACTACAATATGTAGTAGACAGAGCTCACATGTTAATATTCACATCCAAGGGCTAGTTCCATAACTATAAGTTGTTCTGGCTGATTCCCTAGTATCTAATCCTTATTTTGGTTGATAAGGCCTTATTTAGAGCAGTCAATCTTATGCTTGGTCCCCAAAAGAAAAAAAAAATGAAGGAGATGCCAGTCAATCTTATGCTTTGTTATTTCTGCCAGCTCCTCCCAAGCCAAAAGTTCAGACATAACTGTATCTGCCATTACCTAAGAAATTCCCAAGAGGCCTAGGATCATGCTTCATAGTTTGATTAAGAATGGCAACATGGAGACTAGTTTTCCTTTTCAGAAAATTTGGAAGGTTAATGCTTCACTTAGAGTTGCTTTCTTTGAATGAGAGCAGGTCGTTGGTATATCCTTACTATTGATAAGTTGATGAGGAGGAAAATATTGGTAAATGGATGTTTTCTATGCAAGAGGGAGGTGGAGACTTGTAATCATGTTTTTGTTTGGTGCTCGCTTGTGTATAAGTTATAGATTGTGGTTTATGGGTTACAGGGGATCAGTTAGGTGATGGCTGGATCCATGCGGGAAGAGGTTTGAGTCTGGAAAGGTATTAGTGCTGGGAAG